TTTCCTCTAGTCGTTCTTATTGTAGGAATTGTAGAGTGCCTTCCCACTTATAACTTACTGGAACTTCTGTGATCGCCTTCGCTCCTGTTCTCGGTTATTAACTTGTGTTTTTTTTGTTCTATACGCACAGGAGCAATTGTCTTTTGCTATGTTGGTGTAAGTTTTTAATCTTCCATACAAATTTTTTACTTCTTGACGTCGCTAGTATCTGTAACATATTTAAATGAAGCTTAAAAACAGAAGTTGATGTACCTCTGCCCGCAGCAAGGTAATTTTGCCACATTGTCTTCGCAAGCTTGATGCATGTCAACAACGTCAACTTATTCACATCACCTGTAGCACAGGTGATCATGACATCTATGAGAGGAGGTGGCTCTGATCTCGTGCAGCGGTTGAATGCAATTACGGAGGTGGAAAAATCTATCGGCAATTTGTTACGGCATGCGCAAACATGCATATCGGAATTGTCAAAAGAGAAACAAATTAGCAAAGTTTGTAGACTCTCATCAACTTCAGTCACTATGGTAGCAAAATTAAGAAGGTTTATTAGGAGATTTTTAGACGAAAATGGAGGAGTCATCACAAGCATTCAAGAAGACGTTAATGCAGGTTGAAAAGGAATTATCTGAGCAAATGCTGTATCTCTCCAATGTTTGCGTTGGCTCCGCTCATCAAGGTCGATATTCCTTTTTCAGATGTTCAATAATTATCTTTATTTTGATTTAAAAATTCTTCACCTGTTTTGCTTAACTTTCAGTTCTGTTATTGTTTCTTTTTTTTTCTCCAAAACGGAAATGCGCAACATTTCTTCTATAGTTCTTACTAACCAGTATCGGTCCTTTTCTACTGTATCGGTGACGAGACGCATTTCTTGATTTAAACTTGATTTTTGCTCACTTTTACTTTTTTGCATGCTGGAGTAGTTGGAGCGATTTTTTCACTTTCGTAGCCAGTCAGTCATTTTTTGCTGTTTTAATGTTTCGGACTCATATTTTTTCCTTCTGCTCATCACGACTGTCAAACTCAATTCTCCATAAAGTTTATTGTTCAGGTTCTACTTTTGCATCACAACAGAACATAGCGTTAGCCGAGTCTGCAGAATTGGACCTTCATCGCGAGCTTACTAACATAATGGAGAAACACTTTGGTGATACCGAAATGTTAGAGTGAT